TGCGCGGCATACGATCGTCACACCTTCTCATTTATTAGTCAAGCTTTGCAATATGAAAATTTGTAAAAAATAAATTTTTTCAACATTCGTTGACCTCAGAATATACCGATATTTTTTGTTCTGACTCGCCTACAGCGGTGTGACCAAAGGTTGTGCGTCGAGGCTAAAGGACTGCGGGTCGTGGCTAAAGGATTGTGGGTTTTGGCTAAAGGAATGTAGGTCAAGGCTAAAGGATTGCGGGTCGAGGCTAAAGCTTGATGGGAAAAGGTGTAGATGCATGCTCAAATGGACGGATGAGAAGGCGAATCTTGGTACGAATCGCAATCCAGCCGGTTCAGACAGGAACCATGCGTGTAGAAAACAACCAAAAAAGGCATTTCTGCTTTGGCCCACGATATTCTCATGGACCTATCTAATCGTAATAGTTTCTTGCAGTAAACAAGCCGCTGATTCTATCGCCTTCTTCCTTTGTCTCCGTTCCGGGAGATTTCGCAGACAGGAAAAGGAAAGGTTTCGCTTTCTCTTTAAATTGTGATTTCGATTTCTAAGTTACATCCATTACGATTACCTCATTTTATCATAGCCGTCAGGTATTCAGGTGACAATATCTGCCGTGCGATATTTTTCGGACATCAACTGGTTATTTACAAAATTCTGTCTGAGACCGTCGAGAATACATCTGCGGAGATGCCTTTGTTTTTCAAGTGACTTGGAAATGGGACTTAGAAAAAGGGGATATGCGAGATGCAAACTTGAAAATTAGCCCAATTTAGTGCTGTGGGGAAACTGGCCTGGTATGGTCTGTTCTGTTGGTTTGTCGGTAATCTTACCAGATGCACACATATAGATAACCTGTGACTCCACATTATTCAGGAAAAGTTTTTTGACGAATACGTTTGCGTACAAGTGTCTGTAACAAACACTTGGTCGATTCTGCTCTCAGGTAGGAGGGTTTCAATATTTAGAAACAAAATGACGGTCTGAATGGGTAACACTCAGAAGACTCCAATGAAGAAGGCGTCGAATAATTCAATGGCGGGAGGGTTGTGTTGTCAGCAACAAGTGCTCATGTTGACGATTGCTTCAAACTTTCCCGTTAGATAAATACTGACTACAAGATGTCACGGCTGAATGCGGCTTCCACTTATAACTTGATGTAGACTATAGGATATTCCTATAGTATTTTAGGAATAACAATGAAAACGAGGAAGTCAAACGGATCAGATCCGAGAAGCGTACAATACAGGGCTGATTTCGAAAATTCGTGTCAGCGTGCTGCACTTAAGTAAATTAGAAAGCTCGATGACTAGGCTACTAGGCATTATCCTGGTAAGAATCAAGTGCCAGTTTCTATTAGAAAAGGTTTGCCTGAGAGCTATTTCACCAGTGATGGATGACGTACATTGATTGCAATTTCTTGGGTAATCGCAGCTACGCCCTCACACAAGTGCTTGACCTCCATAGCACACTGGAACTGTAAAACAGGTTATGATTCCCTGGGCGTTTGACGCTGACGGAGAGGTGTAGTTTGGTGGAAGAAGGTCAAAGTGGGCATACAGATACCTGGAATAAGATCAGGTAAACTCAGACGAGTGGATTCGGGAACATAATTTGTTTGTGCTAGACTTCCCGGGTTGGGGACCTTGTGATCGAAGTAGTAAGTGACTACAGATACCTAGTAATCGGACTGAATTTCAAAGACAGTGATGATCGTGCATTGACTTACTGTCTTTGTAAATTTACACAGTTCCCCACCAAGCTTTACGGGGAATTCGCAATTATCTATCCTCGATATAAACCTATTTAACACTTACACACAGTTCTTCAACCTCGCTGATCGAGCTTTAGTCATTCTGCTGTAAGCGAATCTCATCGAATTCCCTCCTCCTCATCTCCTTTGCCTCTCTCAGTGAATTTTTCGTTTTCTGATTGACTACACAGAAGTTTAATGAACTCACCGGTGTCCCTCTAGTTGTGGGATTCAGATTTGAAGGTTATTTCTCCATTCGATACTACAAAAGTACGGCATATCTTAATCTTGATACCGCGGTGTGTGTGTGATAAATTCTTCCAAATGGTCACTTCTGCGGACACAGTCATTTACTCTCTGCACTGATGAAACAATCGGGGTTTGTCTTTGTATCTATATTAACGCTATTCACGTTGTGAAACGTATTAAATCACGGGTTGACTTTTTAAACAATTGGATTCATATGATTCTTTGAGTACATCAAAAACTGATTCAGTGCAATCCAATGGACATACCGGATGGTCCAATGAAATGGGTGTATCATTCAATCCTATACCAATCGATTTGCAATACAACGATACGAAAGTCAACGGTTTAAAGTTCGTCTTTTCACGAACTGTTTAATATCAAACGTCCTACGGAGAGAAAAAAGTGGGTGTCGAACTTGAAGGACCGGGGGATATCGCTAAAGAATTGCGATTTTTCGCTGAAGCCCGATGGGAGAAATCGTAGTTAATTTGATTCCCTGTTATTATCGTTTTGTTGACCACTTTTGACTTTACAACTCTTCTGTCCACTACTACTACTACTACTACTAACTTATTGGTACAACCAAGCGGTCACCGAAAGATAACCAAAACCGTTGCATGTCTCGATAAGGAAAAATCGAGTCAACATGCTTTCTGATCACCCCTGGAGTAAACTTGTTTTCTCCCACGATATAATACTTATTTGTTTGGGCTTGATAAATCGCCTAGCTACGTGTTCAAGCTACAATGATCACATCAGATAGCGGATCACCACAGTTCAGCGATATGCTGCTGTAACACCGGTGGGGAACCAATTGTAGAATGATTGAGGTGACAGTTTAAGCATCTTAGCTCAACTGAAAAATCTCACAAATGCTCCTGATCTTTTCACATTTGGGCACATTCTTATATTCTTATATTCTTACGTTCACATCAATGAAAACGTAGCAGTCACGTGAATCTTGGAGTGATTTAAAATATATATAACTACGTCGAAGGAAACCATTATTTGAGCTCATGTAATGAGTTTACAGTGTTTTCGGATTTTGAAGAAACCACTCTGAAGAAATTATCGACCGGTTTGATCCGTTCTCGAGTTGTAGAAGGTTTGTGGCCAATGTTTTTTTGTTCATTCGGTAACAGGTGTTTAGATTATCCATGTTCGATAGGCGACACACGATGGTAATTTGATACTATAAACCAGAACTCATTAACAGGACGCCAATAGCAATTGATCGCACAGAAATATCGGTTAAACGTACTGAGCAGAAACATTCATGGATCCGTGAATTTGGGTCATGCTTTTCTACACACTAAATACTCATTTATTGGACCACGGTGGAGTGCCGGGTTTTCTTGTCCCAGTATCGATATCCGCATCCAATTTCGGTTCCTCAAATGCTTCACCTGTCCTATTATAGCGTATTTTAAAACCCTAATTCCTCCTTTGCTAATATTTCACTTTTCTGCTTTCAGTCAAAAAAGACTGATACGGGGAAGGTTCAAATTGGACATTTTACTCACCGGGCTTGATGTCAAGTTGCACTGAAGAGGCGTGTGGTTAGCAAGAATAATGGTTCTGCAGTTCTCTGGAGGTCGACCGCCACGTGAACCTTCCGAACAAAGCTGCAGACAATGCGGTCACTTTCATCAATCAAACTCGATGCACAAACATTGACCTCTTCCAGTTTAATTGAATACAAAAATCAAATGCATCATTATTTTTACAATCTCGTTTTCTCAGATAATTTGACGAAACACCTGGTCATCCATCCTTTTCAAGCTTGAATTGTTTTGGCACCCCGAGATAGCTGCTTGCGTGACTTTCTGATTATTTTACCGAAAGAATCCAGTTCGCAAAGCTGGGAGGGAATACCTCAAGTCATCCAGTCAATAATTCTGGTGTGCTAAAGGGTGTTGTTCTCCCTCCGTATCTTTTCTCTGCTTTCATTAGTGATCTTTCAGTTCCACATCCTGCTCATATCCAAAAGTATGTTGACGATGTCATTTTATGTCAGACCGCTTCTTCTTATTCGGAATTTACCTTCTTCACTGAAATTCTGTCCCGAATCGAACAGTTTTCAAACCAGTCTGGCCTTAATCTTCACACATCCAAGTGCTTGGAGTGCATTTTTAGTTCTTCCCGCTCTACATTCCCGTCAGGCTCTGTAATCCTTAATGGTCATCTTTGTCTGGAGTGACCTCAGCCAAATATCTGGGTGTTACTATCGCTAATTATCTTCGGTGATCGACAAACATTCAGAACTGTACGGGCAAACTTCGGCGTCTCTCCTTTCAGCTGAGAAAGCTCAGACAATTTCGCACTCCCCAACAAGTTTTGTTCTTCTTTGTTAAACAATGCGTTCTCCCTATTTTACTTTACTGATCCCCTGTAGTGGTTCCCAGTCTATTGAAACGAGACTTTAAAACTACTCGTCGTGGATTGATGATAATAAGTCGTGCATATTTAATTTCTGGCGAGTCAATAATCACATTCTGTGAAGTCGTGTATGATCTGTACCAATAAGATTCTAGACGTCCCCTCCAATCCTTTTCATTTTGACTTATCTTCTTATCTATCCTACTAGATCACTCGTTCCTCTTATCGATATCTGCGGTCTCGAATAAACATTCATAAGAACTCCCCTGTATCATATCTGGCTCGAATCTTGACCAACGAGGAACGAGTTATAAATGAATTACTTCAATCTTTACTTGAATGAATCAAACTTCGGAGACATTTTTCCACAGCACTCCATTGGATTTGTCTATATTTCTATATTCTCTGCGGTGTGACGACCAGTGTACAATTTTTAACTGAAATGCAAAAACATAAAGGTTGCAAAAGGTTTTACAAAAAAAATACCTAACCCCACCCCAGCCCACCCCTAGATGTGCCGATTCTCTCAGTTTCCACATGTACAATCATTACCACATTTGATACCGTAAATGGCAACCGAACGAAAACTGGAATACGAAATTTCATCAGATTAGGTTTATTTCTAACACAATTGAATTTTATCCTAACTTGCACTCCATACATCCACTCTGGTTTTGAAACGGGTGCGAAAAACACCCCGGGTTTGTACTTTAACAGAGCAACTGGCAACCATTAGTGGTCGACAGACTACGATCATACTCACAACACTCAATGACCTTGAAAGAACAAAGCCATCCAAATAGGCCCCCGCAACGTATTGTCAACTCGGGGTGCTATGGAAGAAGCTTACTGATGACGAGAGATTAAAAAGTGATACGTCCTGTGGGATCTGACAGCATACATAGGACAACAGGACCGTGCAATAGGTCCTGATCACATGGCAGGATATTTGGAGCGGAAACAGCTAAAAACTAATCACGCAAGCATTGGACAACAAAAAGCTTCTCGGATAGCGATAAGGGCACATTGCTACGTATGGCCTCAAACTCCGTGTATGATGTATCGGGGATGTAAAGCTGCTTGAGTTGAACGTTTCAGCGCGAACGGTACCGCGAACACTTCAAACGGTCTTTTGGATGAACTGCAGTAAAATGAGACAGTAAAATGAGAAATATTTGGATTGAGAACTGAAACCCATGTTACTGGGACAAACGAAAGGAAGTTTATCTAATTTACTGACGAAAAGTTATTAAATTCAGATGGACTCAACTTGTAGAACTGCTACTGATATGATTTGGGAAAATAGCGGCACTACTTGAGTAAGCGCATTAACGATCGAAACTCAGTGACGGGTGGGGTTCCCTATGAAGCAGCCAACAAAACGAACTCGGTGTACAGTGTGGGGCGTAAGATTATGCGTGTACATTAGAGCGACACCTTATGATAGCGGTGGCATAATATGGACTTGTAATCTAACGAAACGTCAATTATTGTTTCTCGGTATCAACACAATTGTGTGGCCTGCATGGAACCCAGATTTCAACTTAACAACAACCATTTGGCCTATCTTTATCAGAAAGGTGCACCAACAGTTCAGATTTTACACGACAAGACATGAATTCGAGGCATTTTAAATCAGGGAGTGGAATAATATCTATGCCAAATATTATACAGAGTAATCAAATGGCTCCAGTGGGTAAATTCCAAGAAGCATAACGTTTTTGCGGTAGAAATCACATTTCTTCGGCATTTTTTAGTTAAAATTGAAGATAATTTGATGAGATTTTGGATATTGGCTTTTCGTTTGGATACCATGCACATGGATCATTAAAAGTGATTATGATCGTGTTTGTAGAAGCGCAGATAATGAGAAAAATCCAAGGGAAGCGGGATGTATCTTTTTGGCAAACTCACTAAAGACACCCACGTCAGATTCTTGTGATGTTTACCAAATCAACATCCTCCCAGATTGTTACGTGTCTTAATAAATCTGTGTGATGCTGCAGTTGACTTTATTTGTTTAAATCAATGTCTAGAGGCCCCATCAACTTAGTAAAATTCCTCAGTGAACTTAGTGCTCACACCCGCAAACATTTTCAAAACTCAGCGGTGCTCCCATTAGCTCATTTGATCGCTGATTTCTCCTTATTGTGTGTGTTCTCAAACCGTAGAAATACGTCTTCGCCAGTGATTGAGAAAAGTTATTCACTCTTAGACGACTCATTAAGCCTGCTGGTTTCCTTTCTGTAATTCTAACCACGGTATCTTATTCTTATTGTGAACATCGCTCAAATTCGTTCAAATTCTGGAGTGATTCACGCTGCCCTGTGTTGATCGATTTTTTTCTGCTCGCCGTAAAAGCCTCTTGTAGGAAGAGAGGGAGAAAGAAAAGTCGTACGTGATTGGTGGGGACTACATTGTGAAACTAATGAATCGTCTTATCAACCAAGAATGAAATAATACGGGTCAATAAACTGCACATGGACACTCTCTTCGGGTAACAAGAGCCATGGTGGGATGCGGTATGCTCTCAAAAACCTTGCGGTTCACAGAAAAATTACGGTGCCTATATTGGATAGCGGAATAAACTGTTTGCATCCATCAGCCCTGGCAACCAGATCCTAAGCTCCTCTCAAATTCCTGACGATCTCAATGTCATCCATCAGACCGCGGTCCCGAATATTTCGCACTGAACACTAGGCTTGTTTTTTTGATTTCATTTTTCCTGAGCTACTAAAAGTGTGTGCGGTCAGTCGATATCGGAACCTGTGACTCAATCTGTGTTCGATTCATGCTTCTTTGCTGGAACCGCTCCGGGGTGTCGAAAGTCTGCCAAGACTAGAACTACTCCAAAGCGAGTTCCGAAAAATTTTACCCAAATGCCAATCCTACTCTAATTCTGAAAAGTTTTCTCGATCGAGGAAAAATGTGTTTAAAAATGCATATCACAATGGACTTCAACCTCTCGGTGGGAGTGGTGCACACTTCGATATGTTGACTATTATTCGTGATGGTTTCTCAAAGTGGACACAATTTACTTCACGCCTTTCTAGATCCAGTTATATTCTCTATCAAGTAATTATCGTTTTTTGAAGATGTTATTCTGTCCCTCAGCTTTGTGTCTTAACATGTTTATCTCGAACCGCCCCCCAAGAGTGAATAGATCATGCTTACATCAGTCTTCATGAGCCTTAAAAACAAATGACTTTATATATATATCAATCTTTAATACCATACTTGCATATCGATGGCTATGGGTGAAATGTATTCATTCCTGATGTTTTCTCCCACATAAATTTTCTTAGATCTCTTCTATCACCTGTAGTATGTTCCAATCAGGGATAAGACTCGAAGGGTTGGAACGAAATTATATTGATGCAAAACGTAGCAACACTATAAGAATATGATATGGTTAAAATACAAAATGGTAGTGTTAAGTGTGGTTTCTGTTTTGGTCTTCGTTCTCAGTGTCTTCTATCACGGTGCCAAGCGTCACACAACTTGTACAGCTGGACGTTAGTCAGTTTCCATTTCACACTAAACTACCCCCTTGTCCCGAAAGCATCATTCTCGACGTCCCATCAAAGCCTGCTTCTAACGGTACTTCTACTTCAACGGCAACCTCTAGCGGGCTAGCATTGCCTTCGCTGTTATTTTTCTCCGACGTGGCGTGTGTTAGTTACGGTTTGAGTTGGTTGAAGTGTACCACAAAGGATGGTTGCGTCGAACCAACATCCCGAATTACACAAGTTGTTTCCGATAGTACTCATTCTACCACAAAGGGTCCGCGCCATTCTTTGTGGAGTTCCATTGGTACCCCAGGCGTCGTCTTTGTCTTGTGGAACCATACTCGGTCGCCTGTCATCAATGGGGCTCCGAAGCACTTCTTATCGTAATAA